TACAAGGGCTTCAGCATTATTTTCCTGAAAAATTTAGCTTGCAGTTGAAAGTTTTAGGAAAGTGAGAATTTTATCGTATTTTCGGTTCCGAAAATTTTAGGATTCCTTTCTCTACGAAAAATAGCTTAACCTGGGGAGTGAAATGGAAAAAATTAAACTTCAGAAAATCGTAAAGAATTAATTAGATAAACTTCGAACTGATTGTACATGCATGGAACGGTCATCTAGAAATGTTTAGACTTCCTCAACCTATAGAAGATTCTAGGCAGTTTTTGTTTCTCCGATTTAATTACCTTCGTTCGTCTCAGCATGGCTTAAAGAAATAATATTAAACTAATTTATTCACCTTCATTTCTCTGTGCATTACTGCTAATAAAGATTCCGGCGGCATAACTATAATTTTCAGGCGACATAACTTCAGTGCCTCGCATGCGATAGCAGATCTCTTTGCGACTCCGGTCAACAGCCCACAGCCGGAGTAATTGGTTTACACTGATCTCGCGTTAATTCCAGGCTACAGACGACCATTAAGTGGTGATTTTCAAATGGCTACGGTTACTATCAAATTCCAAAACAATTGGTATATTTGATTCACTTCGACCAGTTATCGATGCTGATTAAATCCGCTGAAAACCCAAGCCATTTTTATCATCTTAGTAGCTTTAGTAATCAAGCGTGTTCAGCGTGTCTTACCCAAATTGCACGCTAAGCGTGCTATAATTCGCACACTTACCGTGACATATGGCACGCTACAATAAAACAAAAGGTCTAGCGTGTTAAATTTATAAAAACGAAGGGAAGTGTGTCCGTCTTTGTTTTTTCAATTTAATTTTCGCATATCCGTGGTCTACGGCACGCTAAGAGTGTCGTGCAAGCGTGTCGTGAGCGTGCGTTCATCTTTAGCATCAAATTCCTGTGGAGGGTCACATTTAACAAAAGGCTTCTGCAAATTTAGCTTCAAGCTCAGCCACATGAGAAGACACACAGGGCTTGCACTGTAAGTATCCCGGAGAGCTCCATACAATTCCTTATAATTTTGTTATAAAGAATAGTATGGAGCTTTCTGGGAGACTTTTCTTCATTATCTTAGGCGCGGCGGATTTTGTCACGCATGATCAGCGCGAGGTGTTTTTCCCGACACCCTTCTGTCAGGAAAATGTCATCATATGAAAGCAAACCAGACAAGATCGCGTCGGCAGGCTGAAGCCGTCAAAAATAAAAGGCTTTTCTTTTTCCATTTCAGAGGTCAGTTTTGTTTCGATCTGGTCAAAATAAATCAGGTTCTTAGGTTGTAGGTAATAAAATATTGTCTTATTCAGTGTTCAAGGACCTTTAGAAAACGATATAAACGAGATAATTGACTCGACAATGAAGGTGGACGTGAAAATGCTTTTTTGGAAGAAACAGAATTTTTTAATTCCCGCAGTGATTTTGCGAAATCGCGAAGCAGAATGGTTCAGTTTCTTCCAAAGCCGTCATGATTAAAAAGTAGTGTCAACACAACTAAAAATGAATTTAGTTTGTATCGCAAAAGCCGCCAAAATAAAGATGAAAAAAAAATGGATCGGAAAAATTAATAAAATCACCAAAAAACCGTCTCGCGGAAGCTTTGTCAAACAAACCGTTGGTACGGGTTTATTTAACCTAACCTGGAAAAGGAGACGCAGAATACATTTCATCCTAGATGTAGTTGTGATTTCGGGAACGGACCTCGGGAGCTCATTGCCGTAATATCTTCTACGTTGCAGAAACTACAGCCGAATCGCCCTGCTCGTGTGCTAACTTTCCAATTATCACTATACAGTACCAGTGAATTGTTTCAAAATTTAAGGTGGCCGAAACTTATTTCCATCAACGCGTAGTTAGTTAAGCAATAATAATGCACAGCACTGTAAATAACACGGTTCTAGAAAATCTGACGGCTTGGCGTTTTGTTCGTCGCTGCATGCGATTTAATTGCTTATAACCTAACAGAAAATGCATGAATACAAGTTCGCTGTTCAACCCCGCACTGAATTTAAAAAAAGCCTTTCTTATACCGGAAGAGTGTGGTGGAACAGCTTGTCTCTGAAGGTGCGGCAATAATGTTTTTAAAGGAAAATTAAATCACCTTAATTTAGGTATATGTATATTTACACAAGGCCTCAATGTAAAGCAGGTTTTTTATTGTTATATCTTTATTATTTTAGCTTTTATCGTAGATTCATTTCTAGCTTAGTTATTAGTAGTTATTTTTTTATACTTGAATGTAAATGTACCTGAAAGAAATACCTTGTATTACCTTACCTTACTTCTGTGATGTGTGTAAATTTGTCTTTTGCTATGGTTTTAGACAATAGACTTCTCCCGACTATCTGTTGTGCGTCAAAACAATGTAGCAAGAGCGCGATAAAGAAATAGTCGAAGTGCCATGGTGTAGCACTTTATGACAAAGTTTTAACTGGAAAACATGTTGCCATCTGATGTACACCTGTATAGTCTATGTTTGTAAGCCTTGCCTAAAGAATCACTGGGTTACATTGCACCCATGGGTGTGCCACCTAAAGTGCAGCCTATGTTTGTTAGCTCTACCTAAAGAATCACTGGGTTACACTGCACCCATGGGTGTGCCACCTAAAGTGCAGCCTATGTTTTTTAGCTCTACCTAAAGAATCACTGGGTTACGCTGCACCCATGGGTGTGCCACCTAAAGTACAGCCTATGTTTGTTAGCTCTACCTAAAGAACCACTGGGTTACGCTGCACCCATGGATGTGCCACCTAAAGTGCAGCCTATGTTTGTTAGCTCTACCTAAAGAATCACTGGTTTACATTGCACTCATGGGTGTGCCAGCTAAAGTGCAGCCTATGTTTGTTAGCTCCACCTAAAGAATCACTGGGTTACACTGCACCCATGGGTGTTCCACCTAAAGTGCAGCCTATGTTTGTTAGCTCTACCTAAAGAACCACTGGGTTACATTGCACCCATGGATGTGCCACTTAAAGTGCAGCCTATGTTTGTTAACTCTACCTAAAGAATCACTGTGTTACACTGCACCCATGGGTGTGCCACCTAAAGTGCAGCCTATGTTTGTTAGCTCTACCCAAAGAATTACAGGCTTACACTGTACTCACGGACGTTTGCCTCGCGCTCTCTTCAAAAAAAGCAAAGCTATAGTCTGTTTCGCCAAAAATCAAGCTTTGTTTCCCCCCAAAATTTGACACCATGTTGGGCCCCGAAAGAGGTAAAAAGTTCCTCCATAATAGAAGCGTTTTTTGCTAGAGTTAAGAAGTTTGGCTTACATGAGTTTCAATATAAAGGTGCAAAAACGTATCAGCATAATTATAGCACACACATACATTGTCATCAAACTCCTGGCATATAGCCTGAATAAGCCAAGCAAATACAGCATATAACGAGAAATGTTCGTCAAATGGTCTCGTTAAGTAAATTATACTTCACTTTGCGAAAGAAATTTATCGCTTGTATCAGTGTTACGCATCGAAAAAGCGATGAGTCATCCCATGACATTAGGTAAAAGAGGTAATATTCACGGGTTTCACGAATTCCAATTTAACGATTTTCGCCGAGTAACAAATTTAAAACTTCAATTGTTACCTTACAGTTGTCGGTTCATTTACCTTACATTCGACGACACTGGTAAACAAGTAGTTATATAATGATGCCATGTCTCTCACTCACTTGGTACTTTTTCCCTGTCATTATTCAATTATTTCCGTCATCCCACCCAAAATTTCAATGACGGAATTTAGACTAACAAATTTTTGTACTTTTTCAATTAATTTCTGAGTTTATCTTCTGTCATTGTTCAATTAATTTGTGTCTTACGTCTTGTACTTTTTTCTGGTTATTTTCTATCATTGACTTTTTTTTCTGATTAAATACGTCATTAGTTGATTAAGCACTGTTATCAACTATTTTCTGGTAAAAGCTGTTATTTAAAATTGAAGTGGAAAAATAAAATGGCTTAAAGAAATTAATATAATAATAAAAACACAATGATTAGCAAGGTTATTCCAAATTACGCAAAGAACATTAAGAAGGAATATATTTTTATAATAGATATCAATAAAAAATGTGAAAAATTTTTAAATAAAATAGACGAAGAAAATGTTTCTAATTCCCCGCAAGCTAAAAAGCTTATTATTTATTTTAATAAATTTTTAATTTTTCAAGAACTTGGTCATTTTAAGGATATTAGTAATTATTGTTTTGAAAATGAAGATGTTAATTTTATAGTGTATTTAGAAAGAAAATTAGAAGAAAATATGGATTTATTTTTTAATCCGGTTATTTTAAAGTTTGAAGAAGAAAATTATGAGAATGATGAAACAGGTTTCAAATTTTTTTTTGAAAGTTTTGAAAAATTTAAGGATAAAATAAAAGAAAAAGACATAAATTTAATTTTTGATAGTGATAGTGATTAAATATGTTTTAATCTCATAAAATTTTTTTTTGTTATGAGATTTTTTTTATCTAAACATAAAATAAAAAAAATGCATTGCTATTGTAAAGATGAGTTTGATTGGTTTATGAAAATGTTAAAAAAAGGTGATTGTTTTAGTTATTGGGAAGATGTCGCTGAATTCATAGATGATGGTTTTTTAGAATTACGTTACATGAATAAACGATTTGGTTACTTATTTTATGATGATTATTTATATATCAAAAAAGTTAATGGTCGTAATGCTATTTGTGTTAATAAAGAGGAACATTTTGTTTGTCGTAAACCTGATCAAGCAGTACATTTTAGTACAGTTCCATTGGAAGACACAGAGCGTTTTGAAATTAAGTATTTAGATGAAATAGATAAAGGAGAACCTTATGTTACAAATGACGATAAAAAACGAGACGAAGAAGTAAAAGAAACTAAAAATATTCTTAAAAAGATTAAGTTGGTACAACCTGAAATATATAACAGCGAAGAATTTTATGAAGTTTTTTATTCAAAAGAGTTTGATAACATTGAGCTTGAGAAAGACCGTAAAAAGTTTTATGAACAAGTAAAAAAATTCGTATTAGGGGGATTTTCCCAACAAAAATAATCTAATCAAAATAATAAAAATGGAACCAAGATCTAGAGAAACTACTCCTACAAAAGAGGATTTGGAATTTATAGTTGATGATGGTTATAGACATGATGTGGATCCAGATTATGTTCCAGATGAAAAATATCTTGTTAGTGGAAAAGAGTTTAAAAAGTTAAGACAAAATGCTAAAAAACTTGGTGCTGAATCGCTTGATTATTCAAAACGAAAAAATAACAAATACATGGTTACACTTTCAAGTGGAGAAAAAGTTCATTTTGGATCGTCAAAATATGCGGATTATCTTACTCATAAAGACAAAGAAAGAAGAGATAAATATCTTGCTAGAGCTACCAAAATTAAGAATAAACAGGGGGGGTTAACTCATACAAACCCAGAATCTGCTAACTTTTGGTCAGTTAATTTACTTTGGCCTAAAAAAATGATTTTAAAAAAGTGTTGTGATAAATGAAGAATGGAATTGTTTGAAGTTTCAGTACCAAGTGAAATTTTATCAGAAATCCCAGATAAATGTTTTTCATATTATTTTAATAATCTTTCGTCTTATTTTAATGATAATAGAAAATTAAAAAGTAGATTAAAACTTTTTCATATAAATCTTAAAGTAAATGCTTTCATAAGAAGTGAGTTATACAAAAAGCTTTTTTGTTCTGATAAACAGTTATCAACTTCTGAAAAAATAAATTGTTCTAGGGCGCTTTACAGAGAAAATTTAAGACGTAAACGTTTCATTCATGAATTTTATAGAGATGAAATTGATAAATATTCAAAAGTAAATAATGAGTTTATTGAATGGATAGAGAAAGAAATAGATGAAGTGGAAAAGTTTGATACTTGTCCAGAGGAAGAAACAGAAAGTTAAGTAAATGTAAACTTAAAAAATAATATATTTAATAAAATAAAATGAGTTCAAATGATTGTAAAAATGAAATTACTCTTACAAGTAGATATTATCTTGATTCTGATGATAAATTTAAAAGTTTAGAAGAAGCAATAAGAGAAGTATCTTATAATATGTTTTATTTAGAAGAAGCAGTAAAAGAAATCCAAGAAAAAATAAATTTATTAGTAACCCAAAAGAAAAATGTAGCTTTAAAATAAAAAGATTTTTAAAAAATGAACCGCAAAAAAATTTTAAATGGCGGAAAGAAGTTTTATATTCATCCTAATTTTACTAATTATGCCGCTTCAAAAGACGGTGAAATTTTAAATGTAAAAACTGGAAGAATTTTAAAAAAAATTTTGACTGTTAATGGTTACCTTACTTTTAAAATCTTTGATAAAAAATTAATCAAAACAAAAACTTACTATATACATAGGTTTGAATGGGAATGTGTTAAAGGTGATATTCCAGAAGGATTTGTTATTGATCATATTGATTCTGTTAAAACAAATAATAAAATAGAAAATTTACAATTACTAACTTTAGAAGAAAATGTTAGAAAAGGAAATAATAAACCAATAAAATCATTTAATATTAAAAATAACAAACAAAAAAAATATGAAAGTATTACTTCTGCTTCACTCGAATTAGATATTTCCTTTTCAATTATTTCTAATATTTGTAGAAAAGTAAATTATTATAAAACAGTGATTTCCAAAAAAGATGGTGATAGATACACATTTGAATTTTTAGAAAAAAATATTTAAAGATTAAATTTTTATAATCAAAATGCAGTTGTCCAGCTACGAAAATCTTACCCAAGACAATATTATCTTTAAAGAAGCCAAAGAATTTAAAGTCCAAGATAGCAAAATTAAATACAAGCGTATCCCAATTGAAATCAAATATTCGAATGGAAAGAAAGGACCGCTTGTAATCGAAACCCCATTTCTTTTTAGCTTTGGTGTTAGTGAAAAGAAAAATCAAGAAACAAAAAAGTTTGTAGGTTATAGTATTCCAGTATGTCTTTGGGCTAAAGATAGCGAACCAAATAACAAAGAAAAAGCATTTTTGGATGTTATTAATAACTTAACATCTCTTTCTCAACAATATTTAGAGAATGAATATGGACCAGATTTAGCTTCGTCTCTTACTTCACCTTTATATTACAAACAGGAAGAATACACCGATAAAAAAGGAAAGAAGAAAACAAGAATTGATCCCTCATCTGCTCCGGTTTTTTATGCGAAACTTATTTACTCAGAAAAATCAAAGAAAATTTTATCTTTGTTTAAGGGAAAGGGAGGTAAAGATTTAAATCCTTTTAAATATACTGATCAGTATTGTAATGTTAAATTGGCTCTGATAATTGAAGGAATCTTCATAAGTAAAACTGTGACATCTTTACAAATAAAAGTACATGAGTGCTATGTCAAACCACTAAAACCTAGAGAGTCTTTACTATCAATTGAAGAGGAAGATGAAGATGAAGAGCAAAGTGATAACGAAGAAATAACTGATCAAGTGGTCGAAGAGTTAGTTATTTCTGATGAAGAAGAAAACGAGTAAATATCTATTTTTAATACGAATTTCGTATTAAAAATCAACCAAATCCTTAGAACTAATCCATGAGTTAAATTTATCTGGATATCCACTCCATTTTACTAATGCCATTTTTTTCTTATTATCTCGTCTGATAATCTTTTCTATTCTAAATGTTTGTTGTTTTGTTTTTTGTAATTCTTGGTTGTAGAAAGAACCCTTAATTTCTTCTCCCATCAGATCAACAATTTTATACGTAACAGGTTTTGTAGGTAAAACTTTATCAATAACGAATATTTCTTCTGTCCAGTTTGGTGTGTAGCCTTTATCAATTACCTTCCTCTTATACTTAGAAATTCTAACACGATCACCAATTGCAAACTTTGATTTACCAGGTTTCAAGTAAATAGATTCGCCATACAAATTAGACCAAACTTTACTTTCATTTTTCTTTTTACTTGCTTCAACAGGAGTCATTTTTATACTAGAATGTCTTGCATTATTGTAATCATCAACTAGTTTATCTAACTTATCCCAGTAAACAGTGTTGTTATTAACTGTAAACATCTTCCACATTCTGTTTTTCATTGTTTTATTCCATCTCTCAACAACACTAGATTTCTCCTCGTTTTCAGTGTGATACAACTTAATATCCTCTCTTTTAAGAAAATCTTTAAAATGTTTGCTTATAAATTCGGAACCTTTATCAGTCCATAACATTTGAGGTTTACGTTTACTTTTATATATGTCATCGAATGCTTTACTTACAGTTTCGGTTTTTTTATCTTTCAAACCTCTAATCCATCCATACTTGCTAAACACATCAATAACCATCAGAAGATATTTAATTCCTTTATTCCACTTACTAAACTTTTGCATTTCGACTAAATCAGCAGCCCAGATATCATCAATTCCATTTGAGACTACTGATCTCTTTTGAAAGTTTCTTGTGATTGGTTTGTGAAGTTCGTCGGCTAATTGTTGAGACCAATCACTACTCAACGCCGACTCGCGTTTTTTTGATTGCCAAGACCAAGTTTTTGTTTTGTATTAATCAAGAATCTAGCAGTTGAACCCCACTTTGGCATTTCACCATATGGTATCTCATCCAATGATTGTACCATCTCTTTATCACAATCACCTTTGTTTCTTCCCATATCGTAACAAATATCGTGATAAGCTGCAATCTCATCGACTTTGTTATATGGTTTAACTTTCCACTCTGTCACTTTTCCGGTTTCAGGATTATAACTTAATTGTTTGTCTAGAGGATTGTAGGGGCCCATATATTTATAAGAACCTGGAGTCCATCCTGCTTTTGGTTTTGGAAGTTTTCCAATCAATTTGTGAATATCAAAAACGCCCGCCCCTTCAGACGGGCTTATTAGTTTTTTGACTTCTTTTTAGTTTTTCTTTTTCCACTTCCAGTTACAAACTGCGCATCTGCAAAAGAATTGAGTTCTTCCTCTTTTATCAGTTTGGTAACCACTTGGCTCTGTGCAAGGAGTTACTCTTTTATCTACAATACAATAAGTTTCTTTCATTTAATATAATGTTTAGATAAAAAATATGACTACCAGATCTAATTTTCTGAAAAGTGAACTTCAAAAGATATACAACAACCTAAACATGAGTTATGAATACGCTGATTATTCTAGATTGGAAAACGATACTAAATTTATAAAAGTATTTGAGTTGCTTATGGAAATAAGTGAGAAATCAAATACGCTTAACAAAGTTGTAAAAGGAAACTTTCTATTCATATAATAAATGGAAGCCAAATTCTTTTCTGAGATAGAGAAAAAGATGGATGTTAAAACAATCAAGGATTTCGAGAAAGAAGTAAGGACAAAAATATATAATGAGTTGGAGTCTCTTAGAAAGAAAAACGAAGATCTTTCTAGAGTGCTAATGGTTGGTGAAAGTCTGATGTGGAAAAAAATAAGAAATGAGGAATATTCTTGGTTGCGACTAAATAGTGATAAAAAGAAGAAACTTTATCGTCTTATTGATATTTACTCTAATTTCATAGATATAGTTGATAGTGTTAAAGATCTAAATACAAAAGTTGATAGGGTTAAACAGCTAAAGGATACACCTGTGGATAGAGAATAAAATAGTTTAAGAATAAAAGTAAAGTATAAAAATGGGAGATAGGTTTGTTAAAGATTTTGATTTATCTTTTGATAGCCAGTTACTAGTTGATTACGAGATTGAAATTCGAAATGAAATTAAAAGTCTTTTAGATGATTTTAAAAAAGAAAATTATTTATTTTATTTAGAAGTAAATAGACAAGAAGCTAAATTTTGGGTAGAAATTATAAATAAATATAGTCATTTTATTAAGAAAAAAGAAGAAAAATTTAAGAGGTTAAGTAAAATTGTTTACCAATATAATTCTCTTTGTGATGTTTGTGATAAAATTTCTAGTATTTTATTTGATCTTAAAAAAATTAAATCCAAATAAAAAACCTTTATAGATTAAATAAATTATTTTATTTAATCTTAATAATTTAAGAGAAATAAGCCTTTATAAAATCGCTGTTATCGTTATCAAAATGAGGGTTATGTATCACATCTAGAATACCTTTACCTTTTTGTCGCTCGAATAAATAATATAAACACCAATAACCACAGAGAACAGTACTACGATTTTGTATTTCATCCATTGAGTAACAATAGCTTTTACAGATCCCGTTTGAAAATAGTCTAATACTTCGTTTGGCATTATCAGTCCAAATGGATCGAAGTACTCAATAACACCACTCCCACCATCTAGATTTCTATAACAAACCCAGTGTGTTCCAGGCCCTGTTATATCATCCAGATTAATTATTCCACATTCTTTTCTAATCTTTTTTGGTAGACCATCACGACTATATATTCCTCTGAAATGTTTAATACCAAGTCTTTTTACCCATTCCATGAGGTCAAAGTTGGATAGTGGTTTAATTACAAAATGGAGTTTAGAATGGTTAAGGGAGGGGGGTGTAGGGGGAACCGAAGGTTCCCCCACTACAAAATGGTGCCGAGAATGGGAATTGAGTTGAATGGGCTGTTTTTTCCTAATAGTAAACCCTTGCCTTTGGACGGCCTGCCGGCTTTTTTTTTTTAACACCCATTCCTATAGGGTTTTCCCATGTACCAATAAAAGGTGGTGAGCGATAAGGGTAACCCTCTCCATGTGTGGGTGGCACGTAAACATTTGATGTATTAGATGACCCACGTCTATCAACCTGAAGTCCTCCTCCAAGCATCTTAGATACCAGACTAATTGCTATTGGGATACCAATAGAAGCAAGAGTACCTAAAAATCCTCCTTCTATCTGTTTACGAGTTGGTTTGATAACCAGTCGACCTCCTGTTTGATAAGCTTTGTTAATTTGATTTATTTGTGATTTGGTAAATTCTCTTACAAGAGGTGGTAGCATTGGGAAAAACTCTGGGGGAATTGTGATTCCATTTTTTAGCAGGGGGGTTTGGGGGGGAGTGCCTACCCCCCTTCCAAATATTTTATTTATTCCAAGTTCTCCAAGTGCAGTTGCAGCACCGGTTGCTAATGCAGGAACAGCTTTAGATATTCCTTTTATTGCGAAAGGAAGAACTTTTGCTCCGAGAAAAGCAAGTGATGAAAATAAGTTTCCTCCATGTTTCACAGATTTTCTAATTTGAGTTTTACTTATTTTTATATCCGATCCGGTACCATTTGTAATAGATTTTTTTATTTTATCAATTTGTCTTTTTGTTAACATTAACTCATCAGAACCTCGAAGATGAGAATGTTTTAAACGAAGAGTTAGTGGTGATTGATTTATTATCGCAGAAGCCAGTTTTGACTTTTGCCCATCTGTAAGTTTTACTCCGTATTCTATATAAGTAGTCATTTTATTTATTTGATGTTTATATTAAATTTCAATATCATCACTTAATCTTTTTTTTTATTTGTTTTTTAATTAGTTTGAATGTTCTAGGTGAGATATAATTAGATTTTATTTTTAAAAATCTAATTATAAATATTGCTTTGTCATTAGAACCTTCTAGAAGGTTATTGTTTTACATCACGAGATTATCATGTGATTTTTTCAACCAATCAAATGATTACACAACATTTTACACAACATTTTCTACAAGTTGTAGAAAATATTGTGTAAATATAAAATGTTGTGTAAAATTCTGTGTAATCATAACAACTTGTGGAAAATTCTTTGTAATCATATGCGGTGTATCTAAGGGAGGGGTTATAGGGGAACCGTAGGTTCCCTTATGCACGAAGCAATAGTTTTCCATCTTGTTGTGATATTTCTGCTTCTCTTTCATGCAAGACTAATGCGTAAATATTATAATCAGCGTTTGGATTAGCAGTTAATTCGTAATGAAATGCTAGTTTTGTAACTCCATCTTTGATATCCATTTTTTGTTTTGTCAGGTCAAAATAAACAAAAGGAAATAAAGTTTTAAAATTAGTTCTATTAAGTAATGTTCCACCTTGATAATCATTATTTGCATAGACGTATGACATTACATTTCTAAAAACTCTTGACATATCTGTAGAAGGTTTAAAGTGAATATCTGGGTATTCGTTTCCATTTGCAACTTCCAGGTAACATCTTGATATATTAGCATTATTTGGTAGATTAAAAGTATCGTATAAAAATGGATTTGCTGTTTGTGCATCGATTCTTGCTGTATCAATTCCAAAAACAAATACATGCCGTGGTTTTGAAATAGCATTTGTAATTCTAAAATGACCTGTCTGTTGCTGTCTATTATTTGATCTTTCAACTACTTCATTGAAATATGTCCATTTGTAAGGTTTAAGATAATTTTCCATGTACAACTTTTGTCCTTCTGAATTAAACGTAAGTTTTGGAATAAAAAGTTGTAGTCTTGTTATAATAACTCTACAATCGTCGGCGGCTTGAAAAATTAAATTTGCATCTTTTTCAATTTCGATATTTAGTTCGATTTTTGTATTAGGAAGTAGTTTATCTTGCAATGCTTCAAAGAAAGAATATCTATTAAGAGGA